GTCTCTCATATCTCTCTGTCATCTCTCCTTTCCCTCCTCTCTCCTTCTTTTTCTGTTTCTTTTCCTCTGTCTTTCCCACAGCCCCTGAAGTAATTTATACTTGTTTCCCAAAAAAAAAAAAAAGTGTGTACTTTCTCTTTTCTCAATTTCCCAAAGATGATCTAGGAATTAGATAATATAAATGAAGGATGCTCCTTGGGGGTGTGGGGATGAAGGAGTTGTTGTACCAGAAACTGAAGGAAAGACAAATACTGTCTCTGCTTATCCTCTGTGTGTGTTAACCTTCTCAGTTCCACCCCTAATGCTGTCAGAAGGTGCCTATCGTTGTAAGTTTAAGCTTTCCTTTTTTAATATATTGCTTCTAATTTTTCCGAATCTGAGAAACCAGTTTATCAAATTTAATATATGTGTGTGTACATGGGAGCATCAGCAAACTCAAAGTAATAATCTGACCACCTTTTACCATTCTTACAGAATAATCAAAATTGCAAATAAGAAAACTTCAGTATTTGTGCTTTGTGCCTATTTTGGAGGTCTTTGTCTTTTTACTTAACTTCCTTTTGTTAAGCTATTTTCCAGAAGATGGAGTATTTCAAAAACTTTGTAATGCTTAATGATTTAGTTTCATTAACTAATAAGCAATTATAAAAATAAAAAAGGTCAGAGTATTTTCTTTTTAAGTGATCCAGGAAAGTGTCCTTGAGAGCCACCTTAGCTGGATCAGCTAAGCACTGCCCACCCCCCAGCCCCCAATGTAGAATGAAAGCTAGTGTCAAAGCAATCTGGGTTCCAGGTCACACACCCAAAATCAAAAGGGACCCAGATTTAGCAATTTGAGGCCAGGAATTTTGTAATCTACAGAGTTTCCTCTGGTGGAAATCTTCAGTTTGTATATGATTATGCTATTTGGTAACAATGTATGGACATAGTGTAACACTACATGGCAGTACTTTAGATCTTGCTAGAATAAGGGGGGAACCCCTAACATGTAACTGAACATTTTTTCCCTGCAAATAATTTATATAATACTGATTACCTATGAAGTTAACCCTTCATTTTGGCCACTTCCTAAATGCAGCATTGATCTTTTTTTAATCTGATTTCCTTTTAGAACTATAAAGACATGACCTTCCTCTCTCCATGTGAAAGTATTGTATCCTAGAACTTCGCTTGCAGTTATGGTTGCCATACAATTCCATCAGCTCAGGCTTTTAAGATTATTTTGATTTCTTGTTTTTTTTTCTTTATTTTTTTTTATTTATTTATGCATACAGAACTGAGGTACAGGCAAGAGGTGCAGGGGTAGTGAGAGGATTCACCAGAGACAGTATGGGAACAGAACAGGCAGATTGATGAAGCATACTGCTGAGGGGAGCAGCAAGCAGGTCAGGAAAAGTCTGCTGCACCATGTGGATCACCTGTGGGGCAGAGGATTGAACTCACAGTGAAGCAGCTGTGGCTAGCTTTCAATGCTGAGTTGTAAACTGCTGCACCACCAGAGAGAACCCATTTTTTATTTCTAAAATAAAAATAGCATTATTCCTGTTCTGGAATTTCTTGGCAGCAGTATCTGACTTGCCTTTAGCATCTGATAAGGCCAGTAGCATAATTTGCTGTCATTTTAAAATCATGAAGTAATATGTGATGATTTTTTGCATAGTCAAAACTATTAGCAAAAGAATTTTTGTATTTAACAGTTTCTCCAGAGTCTATATAACTGAATCCCTTTACCTAAAGTGTAAGTGGAGTCAGAGGTCATTTTTCTTAAGTGTTTATTAATGTTTCTGATAATATTGATGGAATACATCATGGCATTTCCTGTATCCTTTTAAGCATCTCAAATTTTGCAGCAGTAGTATATATACAGTTCTTTTTAAAAGTAAGTAACTTCTAAAGAATCCTGATTTCTTTGAGTCCTGAAAGAATTTCACTTAGTCTTTTATTATTTTTCCTATTAATGATTGTGCCTTGAACACTGATTCATTAGTTTTCTAGTCTGCAGCTTCTTAGACTGCAGCACTGACTTTATTCTGTCTCTCCTGAATAAAGTGGACCAGTGTGTGTCCCCACCCCGGTCCTCAGCCATCCAAGAGCGACTTTGTTTTCCTGGGAGTATGTTCCTTCATGTTCCTTCATGTTCTTCATGCGAACAATGCCTTTCAGACCCACAGGAAGCATTCCTAGTGTCGGTCCCTGGAAGCTGCCCAGGTGTTTCATTGGTTGCATTTGACCTTCCTGTAGGGGATAATGGTTCTCAACCTTGGCTGCACTTTAGCTCATCTGGAAGCTGCACAAAACACTTTGGCCTGGATCCCATCTACATGATGTAATTCATCTTGGGTGTCACCTGAACACTGGCACTTTTAAATGCTTCCTAAGCAACTCTAATGTACCAGCAAGATTGAGACCACTGCCTAGGCTCCCTAATCTTTTAAGCTTAAATGTATTATTTCGTTTATGACATGCTCATTAGTTCTTTGGGTCAGAAATTCATGACTGTACAGACATGTGTGTTGGTCGAAAGGCAGTTGTATTAAAATTCATTCCTAAAAGACTTTCCCTTGATCTAGTGTTCACCTCTGTGTCTCTCTACTACCATCGGAGCTTCCCAGGTCTCTTCCTTACTTAACTCCCATTACTTATTTTTTACTTAGTGTTGAAATGATTTCTGATCACCACAGTAGCCACCACAGAGAAGGGCTTCTCCTGGCCAGGCTGTGCACAGTGCCATATGAGCCCTGGCTCATGGGCCCCCACACGGCCCTGGTCGCTCACCAGAGTGCCAGTACCACATTCAGGAGCCTGCAATTTGTCCACTTGAACAGCTGCATCCCCAACTCTGCATCTAGACATGACCCTGTTGCCAGAGAACCTCACACTGGTCTGAGTGTCAGATAGGCTTTGTTCAAATCCTTAATCTACCATGTGCAGGGCTATGATTCACTTTCCTTGGTTACAAAAAGTTGATGATGGCAATAATAATAATGCCCACTTCCTAGATTCTTGTGAGGGTTTTCAAGATTTTCTGTGTAAAGTGGTCAGTCCTCAATACACAGCAGGAACTTAATAAACAAGAGCTGTTGTTTGAAGAGCTATGTATTACTGTCAGAGCTTCCTGGTCTCTCCCTTGCATATCTACTGTTGCCATTCTTTTTTTATTTCATGCTGTAAATGTTCTCTGAGTCACCATGCTCCTGTCTGGTCCGCATCCCCTGGGGGCCTTGATTGCTAAAACTACTCCTAACTGACTCTCCTCCCTCCAGTCACCTTCCTTCCTTCCCACCCTTAATCGGCTCAACACGCTCAGAAAATGATTTCTTAAATAAAACACCACTTGTCTGTTATTCTCTTGCGCAAGAACCTATAAAGACTGCCCACTGCTCACTGTATCATGCCCAAACGCCTCGGCAAGGTTTTTTAAAATTCCTCTCATAATTTGGCTCCAAACTTCTGACCGATACATTTCCCACTTGCACCCAGCACACTCCGTCTACTCTACGTTGGTGGGCTCTCTCAGTGTCTTCTCAACATGCAAACAATGCTTATTCCGGTTCTTACTGCCCCACCCCAAAAGGGAATATAGATCCTTACCTGTTGGCAAGAATTGGTTTCAATAAATTCTCCTTCCTAAGGTCTTTTCCTCAACCTCTGCTTCTCCTCTTTTAGTACTTCTTTTCTAATGTTACAAATGAAAATTTTTCCAAATTTTCCAATTTTACATTTGGAGGCAACAAGGCAACCAGCGTCACTGAGTGACTGTGGCACATTATTATCTAATGGAGTCACTGCCCACCCATAGCCCCAGGGAAATGTGAGCCAGTTGTTGCAAGAGTTCTTAAATCATGTGTGAGGAAAAATCTGGGTTTTTTAAAACTTGGACCTTCTTGATTTTTAAGTGTTGTTAGTTAATTTGAAACCTTTCAAAAAATGTATAATTAGCAAAATAAATCAATAGGGCTGGAGATAGTCTCAGGACATAATTTGTCCCTTCCACCTTATAGCTTGTATTACAACTACTTTAGGACTTTATTATTCTCTGTTTATTTAATGTGATTTACTTCCTAACCAAGATATTCAATCCAGCAACCCAAGTTTATTCATTTTAATCATCTGTTGCTGAGCCTAACAAAGCATTAGCATAACAATCCTTTAGTTGATTCATTCATTAAAGAAATATTTAGTAATTCAAAAGACTTCAAAACTTTGTTTTCTTGTTTCTTTAATTATATTTTGCAGTGTTTAGTGAAAGTATCTGGTGTTTTTTCCTGGCTCTGTATCCGACTCCCAATTGCATCACCAGCTTTGTGTCTGTCTTGCTTGTTAGTGATCTTGTGACATAAAACTGTATTTTTCTTTGGAAAGAGGAACAAAGCATGTTACTTTTCATATGATAAATGAAACTTGTCATTAAGTGGTATATAGTTACAGTGTTTGGCACATATTAAGGATTCAACAAATATCAGTATTATTTATTCTTTGGCAACCAGGAGACATATACCAGATTTATCAAGATTATTCTACCATGCAAATGTGAAATGTAGGGAATTATGTGTCTGAAACTTGAAAATTTGCTTTCTTTATATGCCACATACTTTTTATATTATAACTTCCTGTCTAATTCCCATGATATCATCTCAGTAGCAAGCAATGATATTCCACCCAAACAGTTATCATCAGACATGAGTAACTCTTTTTGACTCATGTTAACTTGGATTGAAAAAGGGAACATATTTGACTAATGCATGAGCACTATTGTAACTATTCAAAAAGGATGGTTATTCTCTTCTAAAAAGCCACAAAGAGCACATCTCTTAACATCCTAGTTAGGCTCTGTTATAATCTTAAACTTGGAGAAGTGAAGGTATAAGAACGAAAAGTATTGCTTCCTTAAACTTGCTGATTATTGTCTCAATCCTCTAGTAAAATTTTCCATGAAGATATGAGGAATATACAGGACAGTGCATAAACCAAGACCCTCCTTTTTTTGTGGTTTGCTGTAGGTACTCAGCGTGCCAATGCCCGAGCTCCAGCCCCCTACAAGCGAGACTTTGAAGCCAAACTAAGGAACTTTTACAGGAAGTTAGAGACTAAAGGATACGGACAAGGTCCAGGGAAATTAAAGTAAGTCAACGGGATATAAACCACAACATTCACAGATGGTGAAAGCAGGGTGTGGGGTACAATTGGGAGTGGAAGAAATTGTTATTGCGATGATCAATCTTTGTTTTAGTTAGCACATTTATTTTGGCATGTGTAAATTACAAGATCACCTAAAATATATTCCTGGAATTATGCACAATATAATTGAAGCTTTTGAAACAAACAGTAAAGAAATTACCATATTCCCACATTCTATGTAGGCAAAAAAAAAAAGTAGATGATTTTTCCTTCCAAAAGTATAGTTTGTTTATAGTCTGTTCATGATTAAAAGGTTATCATTACTTCCTCCTGAGCTGAACTGAGTATAGGAATAATGTTCAGCTTTATTTATCTCTGAGAAATAAACATTTGTCCAGTGGAATTTGTCATGAATGTTGCTTCTTTCTTCACCCACTTTTCTTTAAGTGGGGAAATTAAAATACCATCATGCTTGACCTAGAATTATTTTCACCTCATACATACTCAAACTTCTTCATCCCCACCTCTACTCCTGTTTCATGTCCCCACTAGAGATCACCATGTTTACCTGAGAGGGGACAGAAGAAAGAGGGTCCACTCTTTACCATGACCCAGGGTACCTGAGACTGTCACCCAAACCAATAGCCCCTCACTCTGCCCCAGATGAAGGCTTGCTTTATTAAATTCACAACCTTTCCTTGCCTCAAAAACTGCCAACAATCCAAAGCACCATACAACTCTGAGCTTTTACCTTTCTCACGCTTCACTTCTGAAAGTCTTGATAATCAAGGCTTCCAGTGTCACACCCCCTATCATCCTCCCTTCCATGAGTATTTGCATGAAGGCAAATTGATATCTGCTTAAGGATGACTTTAATTGTTATAATCGTAAGTAGATTAAGTGGGGCTGCAAATATCACTCACTGTATCTGTCACTTAGGGAATCTCAAAAACTCATGTAATTTAAAAATTAAATTAAGCACAATTATAAACTCCTCTGCTTTGGATGACAGTGAGATTTATTTTTCCCACCTTGTTCCCACAGTCTTATCTCACTAGGCTCTTAGTAATTGAATTCCTCGTCTAGATGCATTCAGATTTAAAATACTGCTGCATAGGGTTGTTCTTCCTTTAGTAAATGAAAGTGTGTATGTGTTATTTGTTTTATAACCATCTTCTTTCTGGGGTAAATTAATTTAACCATTCAGAAAAGATTGTCAGGTTGTTTTTTATGTCCTGCGTGGAATGCTCTATTTACCAATGATTCTTGATGTAACTAATGTTAATGCTGTTAAGAGTTGAGATAAATGCGTTCTTTTTGTAGATAACAATGACATTAAGTCAGTACACTTGTTGACTAGTTAATTATGATAAGTGGACATTAAATGACAAGTACCCAGTCTAGAAGAAGAATTTGGAAATAATTCATATTTTTCAAATTGTCTCTTTATGGACAGGCTAATTATCAGAAGAGATCACTTACTCGAAGATGCTTTTAATCAGATTATGGGTTATTCCAGAAAAGACCTGCAGAGAAATAAGCTGTACGTCACCTTTGTAGGGGAGGAAGGGTGAGTAGAAAAGAGAAGTAGTCTATGTGACAGTGGCTGCTGGAGCGGATATTTCACCACATTGGCCGGAAATCCTTCTGGCAGGAAATGCTGTTCTCGTACACTTAAAAATCTCTCAGGTTTTTTATGAAAGGCTTTTCTGGCTTTTAAATCACTTGACATAAACATTCTGTAGTGAAAACTCTTAACTAGAGATCATTTTTGAAAGCAAGGCTTAGTTTGGTTTCTTCTCTTCCTTAAGCAAAAAGTGGGACTTTAGGAATAAAACAAGGAATTGTTTTTTAATGTCTGTGACCTTGTTATCTGCACTGGGGTGTAAGTAGACCAATCTTCACCTGTTAAATTAACTCAATTACAGAATCCTGAATTAAATTCCTGCTGTCATCAGGACGCTTCCACATTAGTATCTCTTAGCCCTGGTTCTAATTTCTTTGTTACCAGTTTTTCTCTTCCTTTGAGAAAACACACCTACCAAACTAATTACCTGTAAACAAATGTCTACTGTTCCATGAGTGTGCTCGTATAGATAAAGATTAGGAAATAAAGGAGTGAAGACTTCTACACAGTGGTATTCTATCTAACTAGACATAACAGTTGTTATATAACATTTGAAGAGATGACATCTCTCGTCTCTCTCTGATCCCTTCCTCTCTCCTCATTTTAACTCTGGGTTTTCTCTCAGCAACGTCTCGGAACCCAGCTGTCACTAAAACAAAGCAAAACGAAAGAAAGCAAACCACACTGCTTTCTGAACTTTGGTGGTGTTTTCCTTCATTCTTATGGTCTGGATCATTTTAAAGCCATTCTTTTTTCTCATGACCAAAAGTAAAGTGTATTAGAATATGAAATTGTAGCAATAGTAGCCAATAAGTTCAAGCATTCAGTATATAATTTATGAAATGGAGGTTCCAAATTATAAAGTGACTTGCCTATGCAAATGGAGCAAAATCAGGATTTGAAACTTGGCTTATTGTCTTTCTTCAGCCACTCTTAAAGTAGCTCTGAAGTATAACAAGTCCTGACTGGTTTATCTGAAATTTTTTCCCTATCCGTAAGTCTCTTCTCTATTCCAGTCTGTGACTGATAACTTCTGGTTTTTTTTTTTTTTTTCACATATGTTGTCATATACTCTCCTAGCTGTGTCTAGATTGAAGTGTATTTTATGGGAAAACAATATAACGTGACAAAATGTGAATAGAAGTTTGCCTGAGATGAGTCTTTTATCATGAGCCTACATTAATGGACATCTAGCTGATGTTAGTTGGCTAAAAGATGCAGGTGCACAATTGAAAATAAGGCAAATGTTTTTAGCCCAATCAGAGAATCATAGGTATGCATGGGATTCCAAGTATTTCCTTAGATAACCACTCTGTTTGGATGAGAATAATTATCCTCCCCCAGAACTCCAGCTGCCTTCCTTCAATTTTGGACCATAGCTCATTGAGATCTCAGAGGTGTAAGAAAGAGTCTTTGGAAACCTCGCTACTTAAACTTGAATAGGAACAGATGCTTATCAACTGTTTATTGATTGTTCCAGAGCAGTCTCCCCCTATTATCTGGAGTGAGGCTATCCATGCCTAGGAGGCCCAGACTGAGTGGGACTTTATATCTTCGCTGCTGATGTCCAAATGCTTCCTACTTCCATTATCTGTTTTTCTCCTTTAAATTCAGATGGAAAACAAGAGGGGAGGATATTTTGGTGTGTCCTCAGCCCTCAGAAACAATCTTGTAATCACGCCTTCCTGCACATGACACTGAAGCTAGAACAGGACAAGATAACGTCTGATCTCATGACTGTCATGTCAATACTATATTGTCATGTTGTGAATATTTACTGTGGACCATTACACATAGACTTCTTTTTCTTATTAAAGCATTGATAACCTATACTATTTTGAAAGATGGTGAGAAAAATGGAAAACTTAATACATAAAAGTAAGAAGTAAGTCTTTGCCATTTTCTCAACACATAGATTCTTTAACATTAAAATTAAAGATCATGATATTTCTGTCCAGATTATAGTAAAACCCAAATGAAAAACTAAATAAAATGTTCTACTGAACTACAAAAAATGGAGCTGGAAGTTTTCTGTCACTTTCCCTTTGTTAATTCTTCAGGAATTAATTCTTCAGTTCTTCAGGAAAAGTCCTAGTAACAGGAATTTAAAAACGTGTATACCAAAGGCACAGATCTGGTTTCCATTATCATTCCTCAATTCAAGAACCTGGGGCTGCTTGGAGAAATGACTTATTCTAAAACTAGGAGAGGAAATAGACAAGATAAAAATTAAAGCATGTTGTAATGCCAGAAAGAAAAAAATTGGTCAAAAAACCCAGAGTGATCAGCAGTTGTCAAAAATGCATAAGAACCAAGTCAAAGATCTATCAAAGTTGGAATAAATTGAGAAAAAATTTAAAGTAGTAGTAAACTGAATCGACATGTGTCTACACTGATATAAATATACAGATTGAATAAATGAATGGAGTAGAATAGACAAATAATTCAGCATATCCTCCACTCTTTAGCTATGGATCACACAAAGTGATCCATAATATGGTGGGAAGAGCTGAACATCAACAGTGAAGAAGCCTGACACGCACTCAGCCAGATGACCAAGTTTAAAATCAACAGTCATAATTCATATGGATAGTAGTACCTGTGATGTGATGGGATAAATATAGCCTAGCTATGGGGAAAACATCAGACCATTCCAAATTATGAGACTAATACTCCTTAAAACTGTCAAGATCATCAAAAACCAGAGAAGTCTGAGAGGTTTAGAGCTAAGAGGAACCAAGGAAATATTACACTTAATTGTAATATGAGAATTCTGTATCAGAATCTGGAAAAGAAATGACATATATTAGGTAAAAGCCAAGGAAATCTGAATGGAATTTTGTTAATGATAAAGGATGAATTTTAGTTAATGATGATATATCAGTATTGGTTCGATGATTGTAACAAAGGTACTGAACTAATATAAAACATTAATAAAAGGCAAACTGAATGTGGGCTGTATAAGAATTTTGCATGTCTCCTTTGTAATTTTAAATCAAAAATTATTTATGTAACTAAAACATTTACTAAAGAAGATGTACAGTTAAGATTTGGAGAGATTTAGGAAATGTCATCCTGAATGACTTTAATTATTTACTTGTTGTTTAATGAGTTATTGCCTCCAAGTAATTTTACATTGTGTATACTTTCTTCTATACTTGAGGTCAGTAGAGAAATAAGACATAGGTAGAGCTAATTCTGTGGAAAGTCCAAATTAGTAGGGATATTGACTTATACAGAGTATTATTTTATGTTGCCAATGTCAACTTTATCTATGAAAGGATAATACTTTGCAGTTCTTATTGATGGCATCTCAATAATTATATTTTAAGAATAATCCCTGCATCCCCAAATGGTACAGCTGAACTTTAAACTATTTCTTTGCCTGGTCTGAAACCTGATAGTTTCTGAAATGGAAGCCCTAAGAAAAATGATGGCAAAGTTTATAAACATTAATTTATAGGATGATAACAAATTCCAACTGAGGTAAAATTAATCCAAGAATGCTGGAGTAGTCTATAGTCCATTAAAAAAAAAAAAAAAGCACACTGGTGATGTGGTGATGGGAAGTCCATGGGGATTACAACAGATGGAAAAAGGCACAAAATGATGTAAAAATAAACTATAATAATAAAAAAGCAAAAGTGATCCTAGAGTCTATAAATGCAAATACAGTAGTTGACAATAAAAAGGTTATTATTTCTAGCTAAGATAATGTGTCATGTTCTGCTTGACTTTTTAATATAGAAAGTAGACCACTTCTAAGCAAACCACTGTAATCTAATTGGGTCAGAGCTGGAGGTTTTGTTCTCTTGTCATTAAAATTTCCACCCAACTTGATTTAGCTATCTGTTCTTGCAAAGGGGAGGAGTGAGGTCAACAGTGGCAAAATGGCTAGAAACTGAGTCATCTGGATGTGGTGGGGAATTTTGTGCTGAGCTTGCATTTTTCTGTTGGATTTCGGTCAGCCTAGAAGTTGCTTCTTTTGGAAGGGGGCCAGTGGCACAGCACATATTCGCCAGAGTATTATTTTCTTCTGAATTGAAGACCTAGCAACAAAAGGCTATGTGGTTTCAAAAGTTAACTAACTGGACGATTGTATTTGATAAGGCATCCTGGGCCATTACTTCATAGTTAGGAGGCAGTAAGGAAGTCAGGAATCGGATAAAGAAAGGATGTTTGCACTGGGATTGCCTCGCCTCTTTCTTCCTCAATGGCCAGCTCAGTAAAAAGCACCTTTCTCTAAGAAAGAATGAGTTCATTTTATGTGAGTGCCATCTCCTTGAGGTCAATCATCTGTCTTGCAAAGCTATGCTGTGCCACACTTAAACTAGGAAGGGAATGTGTTCTTCCTATGCTCTTTCACCTGAAGCAAGCAAATAAAAGCAATGAGGGAAGGGACCTTAAAGTTTTCTGCATCCCTACTTACAAAATAAGCAGATACCACTGATCTAATAATTCTTGCTAGTTGTTTGAGGTCCTGACCACTCCCATTTATTCCTCAGACATCTTCAAAAAAAGTTCAAGTTATACTTTATGCTACTGCTCTTTTCTTCCCTGCCCCCCAAGAAAAGATATGTGTGGGATAACCAAGTAACCCAAACCTGAAGAAGGGTGCTTTTGGATTGAGGCTTTAGTTGAGTATCACCTGGCAAAATGTCATATTAATTGCTCACAAAATTCTTTATTTGCCCATTGGCCCTTCTGAAGTGGCTTAAGAAGTAATGCCTTGCTGCTATAAATATCATGGTAATCAGAAGGTGCGTAGGTTCTGTGTGCCTGAACCGATTTGTAAGATAGCAGAGCTTTCTTTGTTCCAGAAAACTTGTAGGAAATGAGGGTGTGAGTTCCCAGTGCCATCATCATCTTTCATTTTTTAGTTTACTTCTGTTAAAATACTGTTTTCAATCATTCTTAGTTGCAAATGAAGAACAGGGGAATAAAATTTACCATTTTAGCAAACATTGGATGCCACTAACATCTCAGATGATATGTCAGCCCAGGAACATGATGGTGTTTAAAATGCTTTATCTGCACTTCACACAACTCAAACTATATTGCCACCCTAGAGACATCTGTGCTTATTCTGAAATGTGCTCAGACACAGCTGTTGTGTGGCTACACACCCGTTGTCCAGAGTTTCTATATTTCTGTGCCAAGCCTTTAGCTGTGGAACTAACCTAACTGGCAAAACAGGAATATAACAAGTGATCCCTGTGATATGAGTCATATTAACTATTTATAAGGAAGAGGTTGCTGAGACATTGCAGGAAGTACATGCACATTGCAGGAAAATTCCTGCTAGGACATGTCTTATTTAATTAGGTAGACATATATAATTTGTAATCTTCAACCTGCTCTCAGATATGCAGTTCTAAGTTTTGGATTATCATCGAATTAAGTTTAAACATATTTTGTCTTTAGAGTGACTCCATCAGTGCTGCTAGAGTTGAAAAACAGCAGATAAAAACCTGACCAGTTGAGGAAGACACATTCTCCTCTTAGGAGAACTGTTAGTTTTGTTCTCTCTTTGGAGAAAAATTTAAAAAAGCAGCTTTCCTTTTCAACTTAACTTCTCTGGGAACATTTCATTAGCCAAATGCAGCTATTATCATTTTTAAAAGAAAGGAATCTGTCAATGAGATACACCTTGGTTATCTTAACAAACTTTATCATATTACCAGCTATTAGACCTAAAAATGGTAAGTGCTGGGCTTTCTTAGTATCATGCATTTGAGTGATTTCTTAGGCTGTTTGCAAACTGAGTTGTCTTTCAGGGATTGGAGTAACCTGTTAGTGTCATTAAATCAAGATACCACCCAAAGGCAAACTTGTGCTATTATTCACTCTGCTATATGCCAAAAAAGCAATGTAAATAATGTTGGTTTTCTTTTGAGGATATCGCAGGGCTCGTCTAATTGATTCGGCAATGTGTATTGCTTGATTCCTGTGTATCAGGCTAAGTATTGGGATACAAAAAGAAGAAAAATAATGCCCCTGCCCTCATATAGTTATGGTCTAGGAGTGTATATAGAGGAGACACAAGTGTAATTATAATACAAAAACACTCTGGTAAGTCCAGTATTGTTCAAACACTGAGAGTTAAAGCTCAGTAAAAATATGTTATTTCTAACTAAATGACACCGTTTAACTTTAAGAGGGCAAAGCTCATATTTCTTATACCAATTTGCTTTTTGTAAGAAAACTGGCCCAGAAATGTGTTTCCACTGATGTGGCCCATGCCCATCCCACACCTCTGCCTGTCATGGGCCCTGCCAGTCTGATCTCGGTAGTAGTTCTGGCCACTGTCAGGGGTTGCTTGGATCTAGGATGCTGTAGTCATTTTATGTATCCTTGATGGGATTGTCATTAAAAAGAGAGGATTTCTAGTTAGTCAGCTGTTTTAATAGAGCAGCATTTTCCTCTTACTTCCGCTTACTAGGGAGGTAAACAAACTTTTTTTCTAAAGTGCCAGACAGTAAATATTCAGGTGCTGTAGCCATATCTTCCCTGCTGCACCTCACCTGCTCAGCTCCGCCTCACAGCAGGAAAGCAGTCCGGACAGTTGAAAACAGAAGCGCACACTGTATTCTGAGAAAACCTAACTTTTTGTCAGGGGCTGGGGAAGGTTTGGCTGTCAGGCCATTGTTTGCCAATCCCTGATGAAAGCAACGTTTTTTTTTTTTTTTTTTTAATCTGATAAACATTTACAGTGTCAGTAGCCTGTAAATGTAATGAGCATTAACAGCCAATGTCAAGGCCTGGGTCCTTGCTACAGCTTTTATTTGATAAAAGTCAGTGTTTTCTTCAGCCTCTGGCTTTTCTCCTGTGTTAAATGAGGAGGTGGGCAAAATGACTTCTTAGATGGCTTTGACCATAGCTATTGTCTGTTTCTAGAAAGATACGGGGTCTTATTCAGTGGTGGGATTCACCATCTGTAGGAAATTTAGAGAGGTTTTGGGATCTCTAGTGGTCTAGGTAGAGAGGAATCAAGGACTAAGCCTTATGAAGTGAAATTTAGTGAGAAAAGGTATAAAGTCTTTATTTAGCTTTTAAAAAGATGTAGCTACAAGCAGACAGGATAAGAGAGTCCTGAGTTAGGGTAGTATAGGTGAAAAATTTGAGATTGTAGCTGAGTCAAGTAGAATAATGTTGAAGAAAACTGTCAGGAAAAGAAGACAAGAGTCCTTTCTAAGCTCTTTGCTTGCCAGACCACACATCGAGTATTGTCTTCTGTACTAGACACCAGCCATTGGTCACAGTTTGGTTCTGCAGTGTCCAGAGCAGAGGGACCAGGTGGCAGAGAACTCTCAGCACTACCTGGAGAGGAGGTAGAAGGAAGTGGGGGAGGGGCAGAAGCGGGCAGCGACAGGGACACCAGGCCGGTAAACTGAGAGTTCCATTAGAGGATGATTTCTCAAGGTTTTGCAGCTTTCACATCTGGGCTAGTACCCAGAACATAACAGGCTCTCAGTTTTTGTTGAAAGCAGGCCTCTAAGTATGTGGAGAACATTTGAGTGGAAGAAGTATTCTGCTACTTGCTGGTAGTGTTAGAGAATTAGGAACTAGGACAGTGGGAGGAAGCCTCTCAGGGCTCCTTCAGTCTCAGTCTCCATGGGAGGAGGGGAAACTCCCTCTCTGTTCGCCAAACCGCACCCCCAGTGCTGCTTTGGGAGTCCCCAGGTTATCCGAGCAAGGTGCCTTCCTGCCTGGGGCCACGTCATATTCAGCTGCCCAAAGGATAGTCCCTTTGTGCCCATATAAGATCCCTTTGGACCCAAATCTACTGTTTGCATTTTTCTGTACACAGAAGTTTTCTGTCAGTCTATCTTCATATCTCCCAAAGTATAGTGTGTGCTTTTGGTGTGTGAAATGATTTAGCTATTACACAGACTGACATTTGTAATGTTTCTTTTATTGTGTATTAAAGAAAAATAAAGGTAGCCTATCACAATTAATAAATATTATTGTATTCCAGACATTAGGAGAACAAACTTAAAGTTGACTTAATGAAATATCAAAAAATAATTGTGAGTCTGTCTTTGGATATAACAAAAATTGAGAACATAGGGTGTGAATAGCTGAAGCCTGCTATGTAAATTATTTTTAATACTCAAATAAGACAAAAATAAAAAGCCTTGTTAATTTTTTCTTAGCAATATCCCAACTCCCTCTTCCACCCATAATAGGATTCTTTTCTCCACCACACAATCCCATCACTGAATAGACTCCAATTATTTATTTTTCATTAAAAATATGCAATGATGACCACAGAGGAAATACCATAAGAAGGAAAAATAGTGAGCAAAAGGAGTCATAAAAATCCTATCACTGCAACTTACCAGTGCTCCCATTCTTTCTTAAGCATTCTTTCCTGGTTTTGAATCCATGTGTAAACGTTCTATCATAGGATAGAATTGCTTTATATTTTTCATGTTGAAATTAGCATATCAGATTGCTTTATTGAATACTGCTCTTTACTGCATATTTTGCTCTCAGCATTTTTGGCCACTTATCATTCCTCAAACCTAGCACAATCATTTCTCGTACTTGACTTTGACCCCGATGTCTTGAAAGTTGAGTGGAATTTACACTGCATTCAGGTGCTAGTTTCAGCCTCTTCCTCAAATACCTTCCCTAGAGAGATTTAGATATCTTCACTTTTTTTGACTATAATTTTCCTTGGTGATTTTTTTTAAGTTTTCACTTGAGTCCTAATCATTCCATCTTTGCCTCTGGACAAACCAGGAGAGGCCCTCTAACTAAAATCCTCTCACTAAACTAACTCACTGAAATCTTTCTTCCTCCATCTCAAAATATTTCAGGAATCCATGAGGGACTACAGGTCCTGTGGTGATAGGGAGGGTATTCTCTGGTTGTTCCCTGTTTAAATAAAGCATCCTATTCTCTTTTCCCAAAACCTCATTTGAGACATTTAAAATATTTACATTTTATAATCAAAGTAGTAGGATCTTTCCTATTCCTTACCTGATAAGTAGCTTTTTTTTTATATGTTCTCTATGAATGTCCATATTCTGGGTCAAGACATGGATGAGATAAGGAATCATTGAGCTTACAATTTGTTTCAGACAGTCCTGAAATATCAACAGTTAGACTTGTAATGAATGTTGTATAGAAAGTCAAATTCTAGAAAATATGTTAAGTATCTAAACAACAAAATAATAATTGGCTTTTCTTTTTGTGGATTTTTTTTAAAGGCTGGATTACAGTGGACCTTCCAGAGAGTTTTTCTTCCTGGTATCCAGAGAACTTTTTAACCCATATTATGGCTTATTTGAATATTCAGCCAATGACACATACACCGTACAAATAAGTCCCATGTCTGCTTTTGTAGACAATCACCATGAATGGTAAGTACTTTTCCTCAGTATTTGTCTTCATTTGATTTTCTGGTGTATTCATTTTTGTGGGATCATATCTTTCTTTCAACAGTTTTTTTTTCCCTTGGAGAAAGATCATATTTTCAGTTAAATTCTTCATTTGACTTATGCTTTTGTTTTCAAATTCAGATATACAAGCAGGCTACTAGCTAGTAATAGGTAGGTTATGTTCTATAAGGTCAATTTAGGGAGGTAGGTGGAATTCAAAAGGTTTTTGCCATGAAAAAAAAGTTATGGATTTTGTTTGGGATCTCATGTGGATACTATATATTCTGTAAATCCCAAATTGCACTCTTTCCAAACATCCTCACTTTTGAAAAAATAATGCTTGTGTTTATAGTCTTTTAATATTTTTGTAACTCCTCTTTGCCTGTCCTGTTTGTTTTCAATAATAGTTATGAAAGAAAAAACATGAGTAGGAAAGATTATGAGTCATGAGGCTAATGTTGATGGGTGGAGAGCATTAACTTGTAGAACTTACTCTTCAAATCAGCTTCTGCTCAGCTTTGATTTGGAATCCTCCTAACTGTTGCTATTGCAGTTAGGCTAACGTAAGTGTAAATAAAGAACAACGAAGCTGCTGTACATTAATCTTAAAATGACTGCCTGGCACTAAAATTACAGACAAACAGTATGAATCTTAGTCTGTACATCCTCAGTGTGGATTTACACTCTGGGAAGGCATCAGATTTTCAGAGTTAGAAACTTGAGTACTTTTGAAAGAGAAAATAAATGTACATCTCAGTCAGCAAATCCAGTCATGACAGATACACTTAAAAAAGTTCCCAAAGTGATTCAGAATAGAATTGAGCCTTGAAATTTTAGAGAACAGAATGTCCCATGAGGAAACTCCCCCAAATGTCCACATACATAATTCTTGGATGGTGACAGTTATGGGCTTTGAGAGAGAAGGAGCAAAGGAACTTTCCAATCTGAGATTGGGTTTTTCCTCAGAAGGGAATTGCTGCTAGGTTTGTATTAGAGAAATCCTGCCAATGTCCATGGCTGCAAATGAGAAAGGGATGATATTTTCCCCACCACTGATGGTCTCATTCTGTCAACATCTTTTAGAAGTAGTTTGTGGAAATTTTACTGACATGCTCATGGGAAATTCATGGTGGCCATGTGGGGTGCTACCCTGTTGACACAGGGTGAAGCATAGTCTCTGTATATCCAGTGAATCAGGTGAGTCTTCACAGGTGGTGTGACTATTGGCCTAATGAAGTCATAGCTTCATAGTATGCACACATACTCATGTACCTCACAGACAATGAATCTTGGACTAATTTAGATGGCAAGAGCTAGAAGCCATTCTAGAAAGCAAATAGATCACTTAGAAACTGCATCACAAAGTGTAAACTCTCACTCTTTTCCTTCACAGGTTCCGGTTCAGTGGTAGGATCCTTGGTCTTGCACTAATACACCAGTATTTGTTGGATGCCTTCTTCACGAGACCCTTTTATAAGGCTCTTCTCAGAATGTAAGAATATTTCTAGGGCTTGGGTAGTTAGCATGTGAGAACACAACAGTTCCTTTAAGAAAAGGGAACCTGTGTCAGAATGATTTATCTGCCCATTATCTCAAATCTTTTGTTATTAAACTAAATAGTAGTTAGAGTTCTGAAATGAATGCATTTTCAAAAATGGTCTCTGTGGTTTTCCTTTATTACTGCCTTGCCCCCAATGTCTTAGTTTTGCTCTGCTCCAAATAATTTATTCTCATTTGCTGCAACACATGTTTCTTTAAAGCAATTGCACTTCAAATACAGCACTGGAATTCCTGTGGTATTAGTGCTGATTATTAATAGAATAGTTGTGGGTTAGAGTCTTAGTGACTCACAGCCTCTTATCCTTTTTGAGATACAGTTTACATTTTGCTTTCTGCAAACATTCAGCTGCTTGTTTTTGGTTCCAATTTTCATTCTCTTTTTATTGTCTTTGTTTCCTTTTGTTTGATTGTTTATTATTTTCTTGAGACCCTCTTGTATGCAAGACAGTTATTTGTGCTGCCAGAAGAGACATTAGCATTCATCGAATTTCTTCATGATTAGCACAGTGAAAGACTGCATTTACTGTTAGAGGAAGAGTCACCGACCTTATCATAGTAGTCATTTACAGGCTGCACAGGAAAAGGCAACTTTCAAGGGGCTGGTGGCTCAAACTTTTCAGTGGGAAAGCACAGGATGGTTGCTCAGCTCTGTCCAACTCACCCCCTAAACAAGGCCTCGTTCCTGTTTTCTATAAAGTGGAAGCCTAGACCTCAAGTGAAAGTAAGGTGGTTTTCTAATAGGCCCTTAGGAGTGTCAGAGAGAAGACTGCTGCCTTCTTCCTGTTGATGCCTAAACAGATGAAACACTCCCTTGGCCCCACCTGTGTGTTCTTGATTTTTATTCTCACTGGCATTCACAGTGTCTTACTTCCCTGTCCTCCTTTTACGACGATGTCTCCTTTGTGGCTTGCTCCTCTCCTAGACCTTAGTGCTGCAACAACTTCCATTTTTTGGGCCCTTCTTTTCTCATTCTGTGTGCTTTCATGGGAAATCTCTTCACTCGAGTCATTTCCTATTGAATCAGATCTGTAGTCTCAGTTTGACCTCCCATGGCTTTTAGGACTGGGGAAGACAGTCTCAAAGCACCTCAAAATCAGTATGGTTTAAAAAAAGCTTACACACTCGCCCTGGTCTAAAAACGCCCCTTTTCCCATGTGCCCTGTCACAGTTAATGGTGTCAGTGTTCTCTGTTCCCTCTGTTCGGAAATTGGGACTCACCCTCTACCAGGCAGGCACATAGACCCACCTCTTCTGCTCTCCTGTCTGCACCCAGGCCCACAGGAGGATTCACAAAGTATTTATGCTCCTTTTCTTGCTGGCTCGTTGTGACCTCTGGATTTTTTTTTTAGCATAAAGCCCTCAAGGCTGGCAATTAATCAGAACCGGATTACAATATAGGTTCATTTGCCTCCTCTATTTTAGATATCTTTATTTATATATCTTAATAAAGCCATTTACTAATCTCCACATTTTGCCTCCTAAATAATTCTTAAACCCAGCTGCTCCACTTTACCCTTAAAAACTCTGCCCTAATTAAAGTCTTTATCTTACTTTGACCAGAGGTCTGTAGTGGTCAGTTAATTGATCTTGACTTCTAATAATAAACAGTTTTCCTCCCATTTAAAATAATTCTCTACACTGTGGCTTCCTGAGAAATAATTTTTTTAAGGGAATATATTTATTTATGCATACAGAACTGGGGTACAGGTGCGGGCAAAACAGGAGAGGTCACCTCTGGGCGGGGATCAAACTCGCACTGAAGTGACTGCAGCTCTCTTGCAGTGCTGAGCTTCAGCCCGCTGTGCCACCAGGGAGGGGTCCTGAGAAATAATTTAATTTCTTAACATCTCAGATCTGATCATGTCCTTCTCTGTCTTGAACTATCAGTAATTCTGAATCACCACACTCCTGAATTACTGACATTCAGGAACTGCTGTCACTACCTGCCCAGCTTCATTCTCTGGAAATTCAGTCTTGTAGTTAACACTGGTGCTGCCAATGTGCTTGGACTGGTCTGCAATACTCCATGCCTTTGTGCCTGGCTCATGGGCTTCTCTCCTTTTGTGATCTCTCTTTTCCTCAATTCTCCTCCTTCTCATCCATCTCCTCTTTCTTCTCAAGCTTTTAAGCATCTTGCAAAATTAATGTATCACCTACTCAAAAGGAACCTGTCCTGAATCTGTGGTCAAAATAAATGTTCTGCCTATCTACTGTGAAATCTCCTTTATTTAGCTTTTAAAAAAATTGAAGTAGGGCCCTCCCTGGTGGCACAACGGGTTAAAGCACAGCACTAAGAAGATATCGCAGCTACTGCAGCACAAGTTCGAACCCCAGTCAGGGAGGTGACCACATGGCATGGCAGACTAAGTAAATCAATTTCTACCACCTTACAACAGGGGCATAGAATAGTAAATCCACCTCTTATAGAGCCTCCTCTCATTCATAAAAAAAGAAGAGAGAAATATAGAAAATCTATAGAGAGATTCTGTGGCTTGCTGTTTTCAGTATCATAGAAATGATTCTGTGCTATGAAGAAAAAGGACATATATGTGATGATGCATTATAAAATCTAATCTTTGGGGAGGGTTACAGTTACACTGTAAAAACTGACCAAAAAATTCTAATTAGATGAATGACTTTTAGGTTGTGTAATAGAATCAAAAGATTGTAGGACCTGTGTTGTCAGCTCCAGGGCCATTTCCTGCTCTGGCATCAGTGTGGGTAACTGCAAATGGCCACTGTTCTTTGAGTCTCCTGTACTGTGTCTGTGAATCGACAGGTTGATTCTAGAATATTGTAATGAATTTCTGAATTATTTCACTGGGTTAGCTATTCATGTTGACTAAGAACCTTCCAGATACAAATGCTTACTTAGTTGATTATTGTTATCTTTACTTCTTGGGTTGTTCCCTTGGGGTTTTACTGATAGTCCTTCCTACATCTTTGTTTCTGCCTGTCATCTTAGTCTGTGTGACTTAAGTGATCTAGAATACCTTGATGAAGAGTTCCACCAGAGCCTGCAGTGGATGAAAGACAATGACATCCATGATATCCTGGATCTCACGTTCACGGTGAATGAAGAAGTGTTTGGACAGGTCTGTGTGCAAATACCTGGTGACAAAGTACATCAATGTTTGACAAACACTTAATTCACTGCCTAAAACCTGTGGAGAGTTACAATAATATTGGTTAAGGTTATTCTAAAGCCAAGTGCAGGTGAAGGTGGTCTGATTTACAGGTCTTGGTGTTTTTTCAGCGATCCAGTTAAAACAGCCACATAAAATTTTTAGAATGTGCCTTGTGTAAAATATCATTTTTAAAAGTTCATGCTACTCCATTTTGAAAATTGAATTGACATTAGTGCCTGACTATTAAACTTAACTGAAATTAGCAATCAAGTTAAAATTGATTGTTTTGAAGGGAATAAACTATTTTGGTGAAAGTTTGACAACATATTACATCTTTTCAAAGTAGGTAGGATAGCTGGTTAAGCAATTTCTTTCAAAGGTGATATACTAGTTCATATGTAAAATTCTTACTTAGATACTAATTAACATTTGACTGCTCTCCTAATTTTTATTTATTTTGGAAAATTCTCAATTTAACACTCACTTGACTATAATTCTGCTTCTTTAAGTAAATCTTTATTAAATGTTGGCTTTCTGTATGTAGTGACTTTGAGCCCTATAAAAATTGTGAATATGTGTTATTGTGAAACATTCAAATAGTAGTGGGTTAGAATCCAGAGCCAATTTATTCTCATTTAAAAGATGTATTCATTTGTTAGGATCTAAAACTTAACCTTCAGCATTTACAATACATTTCTTTAATCTCTGAGGCTTTCAGACACCAACTCAATGCTAGTTTTCACAGAGCTATTGTGTGTGCCTAGGTTCTGCTCTGGTGCCTCAGACCTGAGGCCTATGGGCTGTGCCCAGCCCGGGTTAGGGACAGGTTGCTGGCTAATTGTAGCTCGTTGGTAGCAGTGTTCAGTATCACGAGTATTGCTTTTTGATCAGTCCTTTGTTCCTTTCATCTCAGATTACTGAACGTGAATTAAAACCAGGGGGTGCCAATATCCCAGTCACAGAGAAAAACAAGAAGGAGTACATCGAGAGGATGGTGAAATGGAGGATTGAGAGGGGTGTTGTGCAACAGACTGAAAGCTTAGTGCGTGGCTTCTATGAGGTGAAGACAAGCAGGAGTGGGGCTTTGCAGTCTGATAGTCATTCATTCTGTGGTTCAATCTTGCTGCATTTTATGTTTGTGCAATATTGCCATTTTTCTTTTGCGATGTTCATTGTTGATCTTTCAATTTAAAAGGTCCAGTGATTTTTTCCTATATATTTCATAGATATCAAAAAAAGCCTAATCCTGTTATAAGAGATTATTGAAATAAAATGACCCATGTTCAAGTGATATTTGACATTTAATGATCAATAAAAGCATTCAAGTCATTACTTATGCTTATAGAGAGGTGATCACATCTCATGCTTGAAATGTGAAATGATCATATCAGGAGGTCAGAGTTTGTTTCAAGGATTTCATTGACTTCTATATGAGTGCTTTTCCTTCAGAAGTGCTGTATCTTCTGAAGTGTAAACCTAACTGGATTAATCAGTGGTCAATTAGAAAACAGTTGTGTTGACACAAATCTCATCATTCTTCTCATAAAAATATTTGTATAGCAAGCTTTATAATATTTTAAAATGCCTATGCAAAGTTCATCCATATCATTCCTCAACCTCTTCATCCCCTCACTTTCTGATGAGACTGAGATTATAGTTGAAATTTCTCCAGGTTCTTCAGCCACACCCTATATTCTTTTTGTTCCACAGGTGGTGGATGCCAGGCTGGTATCTGTCTTTGATGCAAGAGAATTAGAACTGGTCATCGCAGGCACAGCTGAAATAGACCTAAGTGACTGGAGAAACAACACAGAATACAGAGGAGGTGAATTTGATCTATAGATGACTGGATTTTATATTTCAAGATAAAGGGTAGGAAATGGTTCACATGCTGGTCTGAATCCAGGACAGGTAGAAGCACTTGCACTCTAATCATAGGTCTAGTGCAGACGTTGTTGAGACCTTGGGCAAGGTACATTCCCTTCTTTGCCTGCTTACCTCATCTCTCAAGTGGCATAAGGACTATTTAGACACCATCTAAGGATGTCATAACTCTTAATTGTTGGTGAAGAAATGTGACTATTAGAACGCTAATTAATTGTTTTATGGTGTTGGTGAAGCACGAGGGAGCTCACATTCAGCTGGTCCAACCCCACCTAGTCCACCTTCATTCTAAAACTCAAATGGCACACCCTCAGAGCTGCCCCATAAGCAAAGTGATTCTACATCTTACTGAACTACTTGGCACTTGTAAGTCGCTCCTGAAACACATGATGGAATAAGACATGGTTCTCAAAATTCAAGAGGTTTATTGAACAAGCTCTTCTAAATTAAGCATTAAGTTCAACTGAAAAGGAGATTACTGTATGATTAGTTAAAAGTTGCATTGACACATCCCTAGTGTGAAATATTAGAAGGGCAAGTCTGTGCATCAGTACAAATTTTCAGTTGGTAATTGACATCAAAGCCATTGAAATGTGGTTGTGTTTGAAAGGGACCTACTGGTAACCCAAGGTTAACGTTTTCTCCAGTAATTTAAAAAAGAAAAAAATATGCTTTTTGAAAAGCTGCTATAAAGTCTTCAAAAAGTCATTTAAAAAAATAACATTTGCTTTGGTTTTTTGTTTGTATTTTAACTCAATATGTAAGAGGTTAGGAGGTGTTCTGAACTTGGAGAGTGAAAAACACCACTGCCAAGTCACTGAATTAATTACTTAGCAGAATAAATTAAGTATTGAACAATTCTTAAAACGCCTGAATTGAAACAAAGATTAAACTTAAACTTAAAGGCTTGAAATAAAGAATGGCCCAACATTTGCTAGGTTACTTTTATTTTTGTTCACACGTGACTCTTCCAGCTCTTCATTGCTGCATGGCTGGTCCCATGCACCCATTTTCTCTGAAAGGCAGTATTAAATTGCAGTCACTACTGCTGCTGTTTCAGAAGTCTAGTTGCTGTAATAATTCTTTTCCAGTTGACCCTGTGCATGATCCCTATATGGCCTTGGTTACAGTAACTTTTATTCACCAAACTATTTTCACAAAGTAAAGCAGATTTGTCTAACTTACAACATATTACTGTAAATATTATATTATCGGTTCATTCTTTTCCTACAGGAGATACTAATTGCCATGTTACTAATCAAATAAGTCATTTCTGTATTTACACAATATAAATTTGTATTCACTTTGTGTAACTAACCAAGTGCCCATTTTGTGGCTATTTTAAGTCTTATCAAATAGACTCCCTAGGAGTAGAGTATGGGATTGGTGGGGGCCAGGGAGAGGATTTGGGTCAGGCAGGAAAGGGCGAAATATTCAGCTGCTGTGTTTGCTAGCCCAACTGGTAGTTGGCACTGAATGAAGAAGCAGTTCTGCCACCGCTTCCCATATGTTCAGAAGGCAGCTGTGTGTAGAGAATATGATGAAGCGCCTCAAAATGTTTGGCACAAACAACAAAGGAGAGGATGAAAGAGCAGATTCATGAGGTCAGAAAACTGAGCTGTAAAGAGCCAATACACTTTATTTTATCTCATGTTATAGATGAGAAAACTATTTGCCTAGCACCAAGTAGCTAGTCTTTGCCAAAGACAGAACACGACACCTATGCAGCACCATGTACAGTCTAGTTTTATTTACCCTTCTCTTGGATCCCTTTCTTCTCCAAAGGCAGTATATTCTGATCAAACAGTGAACAACAATAAAACAAAATTCTTCCCAATCCTGCACTGTGGGACTGTGCAGAAAAATTCAAATTCTCACCTTCTATTAGAGGCCTACCTATTTCAGGCTTACTTCTGCTGACTCAGGGTTGAAGTGGCTTGTAGACATTGAATATGTCAATTAGTTAGTTTGAATCACTAATTGTACCTTAATCATTGTCAGGCTTCTCTCTAAACTTAATTTTTGTTGAAAGATTTTAAAATTCACAACCACTGCTGTAATCCACCCATTGGGTGATAGTTTTTGAATTCTATTAGATTCTACTGAAATCTGGAATAAAAAATAATGCTTAGATTAATGATCATTTGCAGTTTATTAATGAAGGAATTAAAATAATAGGTTTACTTTTCCCTTTTAATTAATAAATCTATGTGAGACTGATTCAATTTTAAAATGTGAACATTACATATGGTTTTAAAAGGTAGTTTGCAATTTTGTCTTTATTTGCATAATTATTTGATTAATGTGTTTCTCTACCAAAAATTCTGTGAAGGTCTCTTTTCTTTGTCATATACTAAGCCCCAAGTTTAGTATAATTCTTGGTACTTGAAAATTATTTCCCAAACAAATGACCAACAGCATTAAGAATATCCAATAACAATAGTTCTATTTTTCAAAAATGATATGGTTAAAATAACTCATTTGTTGTGCTTGCCATTAGTTACATTTAGTGACCACTAAATAAAAAAAGGCCTCTTGGTTTCATTTAGAATTTTTATTTGACTTCTGACACTCATTTGATCATATTTACATCATCTGTATAGGGTTATTCCTTAGTGTGAAATAATAGCTTTATAGAATCAAAGAAAATGGTTTATGTCTGGGTTCTTTGTCAATATATCTCAGGGGGGTTAATGTAGAAGTTTCAAAATGATACGATATTTTATGATTGGCTTCTAGGCTATCATGACAATCATATTGTAATTCGATGGTTCTGGGCTGCAGTGGAAAGATTCAACAATGAACAACGACTAAGGTTGTTACAGGTAAGATGTAATTTGTATATCTTTGAATACATTAAAATAATTATTATTTTATAATTATGTACTTTTAAGAAGTGTTAAATAATCCAAATAAGTGCATTTCCTGTTGGTCTGGAGATTTGGATGGGATATACAATTTCCAGACATTCTGATTGCATGTTTCTGTGGCTCCATCATTATGCAGAACATTCCTAACTAAGTCAAAGCATTTCTTAAAGTGATGAGAAAGTGTCAGCTCCAGTGCGAAGATCCCAAGAACAATATCTGCTGTAAGGCAGTGTGGCACCTTCAGCAATCGGCCCCAGGTACTCAGTAACCCACGTCCATAGCAGCCGAAAAAGATGATCTTTAGTTCCTTAAGATGTCACTCAGTTCTTTGACACAGAGACCTTTCCTCCATGTGGCCTTCAGCAAAGAACACTGGGAGAACTAACTCATGATTCTCACGTGTCTACAGTTACACAGGGCAATCACAGTTGATGGCAGCTAAGGAAATATTAGACAGAAGAAGCTGCTCTGGACACACATGCAGACCGTGACAAGTAGGCTGTACTTAGCTCCTTTGGTTCAAGAATCTGGTTCTTAAATTTGAGAAAGGTCTAAGTAGACTTTGGTTAAATGATACACCCACTTTGTTAATCTGAAATGGGAAATGGCTTCTGAACTGGCCGACCGCTTGGGGCACTTTGTCTGCTACAAACCAGCAAAGTCCCCTTCCCCTTTACAGTGCACTGTCCTTTCCCAGCAGCTCTGTATGGGAGTACTGCTGAGCCTTTCCTGGTAACTGTCTCTGACTTTACATTCTCCTTCTGTTTTCTTGGGTTGATAGTTTGTTACAGGCACATCCAGCATTCCCTATGAAGGATTTGCATCTCTTCGTGGGAGCAATGGCCCAAGGAGATTTTGTGTGGAGAAGTGGGGGAAAATCACCGCTCTTCCCAGGTAAAATTAAAAAACAAAAAACAAAACAAGCATTCCTTTGCTTCACTATAGTGTCCTAGGGAAAGCCTCCACATATGTATATATTAATGACTTTTTTATGTCAAGAGTTTTGGAAAATGCAAAAAAACTTTCAGAATGAATTGATCTCTCATTACCTTTTTTAAAAAAAGATTTATTTATTTATGCATACAGAACTTGGGTACAGGCCAGAGGTGCAGGGGGTGGTGAGAGGATTCACCAGAGACAGAATGGGGAGCATATCATACAGATCCATGAAGTACACTGCTGAGGGGAGCAGCGTGAGGGTCAGGAGAGGTCTGCTGCACCATGTGGATCACCTCTGGGGCTGGGATCGAACTCATGCTGAAGTGGCTTTTGCTTCTTAGTGCTGTGCTTTAACCCACTGAGCCAACAGGGAGGGCCTTATTACCTTTTTAGATGGAGATGGAAAAGATCTTCCTGGTCATAGTGACAGTATACCACACATATCTAAAAAATGTGAAACACAACAAAATCAAAGCATTTGCTAGAAAGCAACATTGGTCATTGACCTTATGATTTCTTGGGATTATGGCTCTAATTTAGATGAATCCAGAAGCTATAGCTTGAAGTTTATATTAATAACTATTTAGAATCCTTTCACTAAAGATTGCCTGTGTGGTTTCTGAAGAATATGAATATGTTGTATAATTCTTTAGCCTGTTGTACATGCCTTTATATAATGTGAGTTGTTCACTTTTTTGTATTCTCATAAATAAGATGAGACATTTCTTGAAGTGGAAGTAAATTGCTTTACTGCTGCTAATAAATATAAGAGACTAGGAAAATATTATTTGTGAATGGATAAATATTTGCCTTAGATGGAATACCAGAAACTAGAGCAAAAGTAATAGAGAGAATACATAAACAAAACAAGATAAAAAAGAATTGGTTTTGAAACTCCTTTATCTAGTCAACAGTAGCACCAAATTTTTGAGGTAAAAAGGTGGTCAGAGTGCCCTGATGTTATTACTAATAAAACTACAACCTGGAAAAGTTAAATAATCTCCCCAAGTAAAATTAAGGATGTCATCTTGAGTTTAAGGACAGGTAGCTTTAAAAGACCTGTTATGGGTCCTCCCTGGTGGCGCAGCGGGTTAAAGCACAGCACTAAGAAGCTTAAACCACTTCCGCATGAGTTTGATCCCAGCCACGGAGGTGACCCACATGGCGCGGCAGACCTCTCCTGACCCACCTGCCGCTCCCCTCAGCAGTGCACTTCTCATCAGTCAGCCTGTTATGCTCCCCACTGTCTGGTGAATCCTCTCACCACCCCTGCACCTCTGGCCTGTACCCCAATTCTGTATGTATAAATAAATAAATCTTTAAAAAAAAAAAGATGTGTTATGAAGGCTTTTTTCTATACAATAATTGCAAGACACCAATTATTAAAAGCTTTGTTTTTAGCATCTTCAGGTGGAAAGGGGATGCTGAATATACTACCACAGAGAGCAGTGAATTATGCAGCTTGGGTAGGGCCTGAGCCTCCCCGTTCACAGTGGCACATCTCAGTTTGGGAACTCAGGCACTGCACGCAAACACCCACACATTAGCCAGCTTACTTGATGTTCCAAATTTGGGACACTACAATTTTATTATTTTAAGAACTATTTATTTATGAATGGACTGTGTTCTTCCATCCCCCACCACCCCCCAATGTAGATTTCTTCCATCTGAGCAGTGTTCCACCCTTCCGAGGAACTCTCATAGATCAGCCTAGAGGCGGCAGGAAAGAACAGATTGACTGTATCAGCTTTCTTTTCTTTTTTTTTTTTTTTGTGATTGATTTATTTATACACACAAGAACTGGGATACAGGCCAGAGGTGTGGAGTGGGTGTGGGTGAGCGAGATATTTCACCAGAGACAAAAGTAGGGAGCAAAACAGGCAAATCAAAAAAATACACTGCTGAGGGGAGCAGCGGGCAGGTCAGGAGAGGTCTGCCACGCTGCGTGGGTCACCTCCCTAGCCAGGGATCGAACTCATGCTGCAGTGGCTTTGGGCAGCTTCATCATGCTGTGCTTTAATCTGTTGCGCCACCAAGGAGGGCCCTGTATCATCTTTCTTTTGAGATCTGTTTTTGTAAAGCCACTAAAGTAGATGGTGTACGCTGTAATTACAGCAGATGGTTCGGTCATTTCCTTTTCATCACTATGGTCCTCACCAAACCTGGTGAGCCAAGAAAAGTAACTGATACAGAAATGAAGCTTTAGTTTCAGAGATGCCCCACTTCTGTTACTTCTTGGAAAAGTTGCTCCATGTTCGTGAACCGCCGTTTCCTGATCTACCTTGTAGGTTTGCAATTGTGAGGATTAAATGAAATCATTCTTGTAAAATATGTACTGCTGAACGGGCCCTGAGTAAGCATCTATTCACTGGTGGCTGCCATTGTGACTTCTGTCACCATCATCTGTAATGCACATTAGGCAGCACAGGCTGGAAAAAGCAGAGTTGGGAAGCGGAAGGCCTAGGTTTTAGTCCTGCCTCTGCTTCTCTGAAACTTGAAGATCACTAGATCTCACCTGCAGAAGACCAAGAGGAGGTGTATATATATTAGGTTTGGGTGAGCAGGAAGCAGCATCAACAGGTTGCTGCAGAGGCTAGAGGGTCGTTTTCTACTTCTCCCCCGTGCTCCAGGAAGTTCAGTGTGCTGACTCATTACAGTGGCAATGAATTAGCCCATGAACATACTGTTGCATACATCCAGTTGGGTAACAGACATTCTTGTTTCTTCCTCTCTCAATTTGACCTAAGGATCGTTCTAGAATCCTAGTTTTACCCAAATTATGAAGCAGCATAAATCAAGATGTCAGGCAAATAGCCTCTTTCTGTAACAATTCCCAAACTTTTTGAGTCTAATAGGAGCAAAGAGCAACTTAGCTATTCTACTTCATTTATAACCTAAATAAGTAATGTTAAGTGCAAATCTCAGCCCTCTGATATTCTTATTATACCTAATAATAAGATCCTAAGCCAGAGGCTACATCCATCTCTGAAGAATAAGAGTAACTATGTCCTGCTCAAGGAATACTTGTGACAAGTGAATAAAATAATATATGGAAATGTCCTTGGGGAATATAGTAGGTTTTCTTAGTTCTTTTTACCCTTTCATCAGGAATCTTCTGTAAGCTACCACACTGCTATAATTATTAAAATATGCTACACACACACACATACACACAGAGATTGTATTTGGAGGGGAAAAAATCAAAACATTGATGTATGACTATAGTTTTATCAGAAGTGATTACTTGGCTAATAACATTGCCATCACCCTTAATGAAATAGGAGGTACAAGTATAAAAAAATCTCTATAAAAATACCTCTAAGATTGTTTCAGATTCAATGATACTGTTTTGTATCACATTTTACATTTTCTCCTGCCATTTGAGAACAGATACACTGAAGTCATTTCCCTGCTATTTCCTGAGAAATTTAAGTTGAGGAACTGAAGAGCTACTCAGCTGGTCAGCCACAGTATAATTCTTTTTCATATTAGGGAAATGATACTTAACATTTAAAATGTGACTTTGTACTCACTGAAGACAAAAATATATGGATGTCCTTCTTATTTAAAATCCTATCTCTAAGATCTGGCATCATCTCGTGTCAGGCAAGGGGGGGCTATTCCCTGGAGAGTTAGAAGTGGCTGTAAAGGATGAAGTCAAGTGATTTTGGCAAATAGAAGGGCATCTTAGTCTCTCTAGACATGAGTGGTTGAGAACTCAATCTTTCAAACAAGCAAATGTGAGTTTCATTCTTTGCCCAGATTTCCTAGCATGAATAGCACTACTCATAGAGTGGGCCAAGAAGTGTATTAAAATATATATGGTTGCCTTGGAAGCCAGCACAAGTTGAAGCTATGGCTCTTTTTTCACTCTTGTGGTAATAAAGCAGAAGGGTGTCTCCATGGCGGCTTAGAGCCTGAGCACATCACTGCACTTCCTCTGCTTTGTACTTGGTAGTTAGTTCTGTATTTTGCATTTCTATAGACGATTTCCTGTCCAGCACTCTGATGGACTTTATGAGAGAGGAAATTCACTTTACGACAATTGCTCTTAAGCATTCCGGAAAAACAGGCTGCTAATGTGCCAGCCTGTGTAATGCATGGTGAGCCTTTCTCCCAGCATGGTATAGAGTTTCTGTGTTCAACTCTGAGGTTCTTGACAAGTAGGTTGATGAGACAAAGAAGTTAGAGAGCCATAGTTGCAACAGGGAGTGTTGATTTTGCCAAAGAGGGAAACATTAATTTTTCAAAATGTGTCTGGAGATTATTATGAATGAAATGCTGACCCAAATTAATACTTCATCATGAAGCAGATGTCCTAGTTTTTTTTCCAGTAGAACAGAACTGAAAAGGGTCAATTTATTCTCTCAATATAAGACCTTTTTAAAATTCTGCCTTTTTATTCTTAGGAAAGGAAAACTTTTCACAAAAATATCAGGAAGTTTTACCTCTATATTATAGATATATATAAAATCTAAAATAACCGCTGCAAACATTTTGGAGTATATATTTCCACTTATTTCTACACACAGACACACATGATCCATTTAAAAATTATAATGTATATGTTGTTGTATTCTGCTTTTACATTCCCAAATTTCACTAATCATGGGTGCCTTTCTATGTCATTAAATATTGCTCTAGAGTGTCATCAATAATTCATTTTTCTTCTCCTCCAGCACAAAGAGCATTGTCTAATGTGAAAATACTGAACTAACTCTGGGGAGTTGTGTAATACACTGTCACATTCCTTAATTAAAAAATAAGTAAGAGCCAAGCCCTGGGAGGACCCTTAGTGCCTCCTCTTTTCTGGGTTTGCCTTAGGCACCCCCCCTTGGTCTCTGTACCTCTCCTTGGTTTCTGCACCCCTCCTTGGTCTCTGCACCCCTGCCAAATGTTGCTCAACTGAGGTAGCTTTTGGTTTGAGACATAACTGACAGAATGTCATATAGAAT